CGTCAGTGCTCCGATCAGGGTCATGGCTTACACGCCATTTCTGGCCCTGTCACTTCAAACCATGCAACATGTCCTATGCGAAATACCGCAGACCAAGGCCGCGGGCCAATAGCAGGATGCATAAGCTCTAGATGTTCGTTGCCCACGATGTGATGAGTGGAATATCGCGCCTCCTGCTGCGCCGGTTTCGATTTTTGCCAAGTCTGTGCCCGAAAACACAAACACTACTGACATCTTCATGCCGTTGCAGGAGCAGCCCATCGCCAACCGCGCAAGGTCTCGTGGCGAGTTACCTATTCCCGTCGACTCAGATAAGACCAAGGGGGCGGGCGACACCATCGCGTCTTCCCCCTTCTCACCGCCTTTTCACACGACTTGAGTGCCTCAGCCTCTCGCCGCCAATGGGAAGCGGTCTCCCTTTACGACTGTACAATTTCTTGTCATGGGCGGGTTCGTCACGCGCATTTGCCGTCTTGTGAACTTGTCGGTTCATCCAGCGCGGCTTCTCGAAGCGACAGCCGGAGAGTGTGACGAACCTGGATACAACATGGCATATTGGTGACTGCATCGCAGAACTGATTTGACAGTGATCTAGTTGGTAAGCAGGTATGATGACGATCCTAATTGACCATCTGTCTCAACCGTACACTCGGGGAATTCTCCATGAACAACGTAAAGCACGACACCTCGTCCAACTGGATCAACAATTGCTGACTCGGGTCTCACAACAGGAGGCTCCCTCATATTCCCACACTCGAATTCGAAGCGATCAACTGTCTTGTCTGCTCAACCTCTCCTGCACCAACACCATCGCATGCTCTGTTTCTTCCTCATGACTACCGGTGGTATCGATGAGTCTCTCCCTCGACGTTCTAGTCGATTTGGTTCATCAGATCACGCGTTGGTATGCTTACCTGATGCAAGACCCCACAGAGCGCATAGCAGTGTCTGTCTCTCGGCATTTGAACACCTACATGGGATAGCCTACTTGCGGCTTGGATCCCCGGCGTCCAGTGGGTGGCCATCGTTGTTCTTGGATGGCGTCTAGCGTCTTTTGAGCCTAAAACCCCTAAGAAACCGGGAGAAGCCAACGCAGCCAATGCTTTGTCTAGCTAGAGCCATATTTTCGTACTCGCGAGGTTGTTAGTTGAGACTGCTTGCATGGAGAAGGTGAGGCAAAAATCCCGTCATTTCTAGCCAAATCAACTAACAATAGCCATGTCAGCTTCGAATCGATGGACAAGACCGCGGATGGCCAAACGATTGAGAGGACCCATGACCCAAGAACTACGTCTGATAGAGTCATCTTGGTTCCTCTTCCTCTCCGGGTTGCTGAGCTTTTGGACATGTACGGGCGAGCGGGAACCACTCGGACATACACGGAGCTGCATGCTATCAGGATTGTTTGCTTTTCCCTGTTAGACAGGAGCTTGGCGATTTCATTCCTAAGCCTGAGTTTTTCTATCCAAGCCCGAGCACTACGTGCAAAACCCATACACCTTGAATGTCAGAGCAGCTGGAGGTCAGTCAAGTTATCCAGTATCCTTCGTCCATTGAGACCGTCGTCTAACATATCGCAATTGGAGGCGCAAGCACGTCTTGCCAGCAAATCACCGATTCCTCTACGTCTCTGAGCTCACTGTGCTTTGACCATCTATGATGTATTTCTCCGCGCCCAAGACGATATCTGGCATATCACTGTTGAGCAATTCACCGTGAAGGTGGGTTTGATGTCTGTAACAGCACCACGAGAGCCCTCGGGTTGTAGGACCTCTGAATGTCCCGTACAGCCTATACGAATTATCTGCCCCAATAAGCGCTCATGTTACATTTGCTTGGGGAGGATTTGAGCGGATGACTGCTAGGGTCACACGTGGATGAGAACACCCCTGTACATTTGAAATCACCAGGTCCCGAGCGCTGATTGGGGAGAGTGTCTTACCAGTTCTGATTCCAGATGGCTCGTTGGCCCCGATCAGAAATCAATCATGCTATATCAGCAGCGGAGCATGATTTATCGCATGTAGTGGGGAATAAGCCTCACAGAAGGTAACGACCGTTTCTTCATCGCTGTAGTGGACTTCTACGAGAGATTGGTTGGATTTACTGACGGGATATTATTCACAAAGTTGCGACGGCTCCTACATGTAGAAGGAGCGGGTCAGATATTCCCGAGCCAAAGCTACCAATGACATGTTAACCTCGAGACAAAGAAACTCTCACTCTCGCAATCGCTCTATGTTGTAGGCATTCTGGTGTACCATAGGTTCGAGTGACTAGCAATAGTCATTTCAAGCAATTTTTTTCGCGACGCAAGAAACTGAGCCTATCGCATAATCATCTTGGATTGAATCCGTGATTCGGATTTACGAAATACATCACATGGCTCTACACTTCCTAGTTCTGATCTTGAGTGTACTGTATATTGCGTGATCAGAGTTGCACAATTATTTCGAGGCCATAGTCAAGGTGCACCAACAGGGATCAAAATTGCTTTGCAGGATCGAAAAAAAAAAAGGCAATTGAAGTTTCTATGATGTGGGGGACATGGCAAGAGACCGCGTTGCCTCTGTGAGACGGTGACCAGCACTCCCTTCACCGCCCGACCATTCACCACATCAACACATCAGTACATCAACGCGCATCAACACATCAACTCTCAACTCTCAACACATCAAAACACCAACACATCAACACTCTCGCCAATTCTCACCAACATGTTTGCCCTACGCCTGAATGAAGGGTGTCAATTTCACTACGCGAAAGGACTATCGGACCGCAAACCATCAGTGCAGAACATTTGGGAACCTCCCCTTTGATACAAATGACACTTTTGTTGTTATATAATATTGGCCATTGAATTTGGGACGATCTATCTAGGGCTCATTCTATCTATCCAATGATGATCCTTCGGAAAAAGGAACAGACTATGAGGAGGTTGGGCAGGTCTTTGCTTCTTCGAATACTATTAAATATCGAATACTGGTCTCTAACACTACGAAGAGGTGCCTGCACGTTGCTAGAGGGCTTGTTAACGCAGCAATTCCCTGCAAAGCACGTTGTTTACGCAGAGCTCGTCCTGCGAAGCACCTTTCTACAGTCGCGGGGCTCAGGGCAGCGAGGGAGCACAATTTTACAGTCACAGGGCTCATTGGCTGTGAGGGAGCACATTTTTACAGTCACAGGGCTCATTGGCTGTGAGGGAGCACATTTTTACATACACAGGGCTCCTTAGCTTATACACAGCAAGGCAGGTAGGGAATTACTCATCTTGAATTTCGGAAAGCTCTCTACAGAGAGCTATTCAAACAGGGCTCAGAGGAATCAAGAAAGCGAAAACACTGCTCAGTTGAACCATCAGATAATGGTAATCATGAGGTTGAAAGGATTCAACCTCGTAAATGGTGCCATATCTGTGTGGTACGCGGCCAAAGAGCAAAGGCTCGAGGTCATACTGTTCCAAAGCAATTTCACACAGTATATTGCTGTAAGGAGTGCAAGGTTCCTTTACAGCGATTTTCGAAAACAGTTTACCCCTCAAGACACCAACACTTCGTTTCTCGGTCCGTACCCGAGACGGCGCTAGGCGAAATTGGGCAAGATTGTAATTTAAAATGATCTATAACTGGACAATATTTTACCAAGCATCCCACAAAGGGTTAAGTGTGTTTCGGATACGGGCCGACAAACAAAGTGAGAGTGTCCGAGGGGTAAACTATTTTCGAAAATCGCTGTATGCAGGCCTGATATAAGGCCATGCTGGGCTGATTTTCATACACCACGACTGCCATTAGGTGAGAAAGATATAAATCGCGCATAGATAGCATAGCTCAAAGATTCATACATATTCATGCTGATTTACTAGTGCGTAGTGTTAGATGAGGAGAGCGTGTCATTTGCGGCAGAAAAAGGACGCTAATGACGACTAGCGCTACCGGGCAAGGGGATAAGGGACAGACGGCGCGGGCATCGAATAGGGTAAGGGGAAAGGAACGGCCAGATAGCAAGAAGAGCGCAGCAAGGCGATACCGTGTCGAGAAGGAAAGGAAGGGGAATCAGGACGACTCACTATGTGTGTGTGGGTGTTTGTGTGATTCATTTACGTACCACAAGTTAATTATGTGTCGTGTACTCCGTACCACTTCCCTACTTCCTAAGCGAACTGAGAGCCTCGCCGAGGCCTATCGTGGCCAGTAAGGGGTTTCATATTAAGAGCGAACCAAACAAGGGGCGTGCAGGGGATCGACGGACTAGCAGCAGCTATCTGTCTGCGTGATCGTAGGCGGATCAATTTGGCATCGTTCAAGCTCGATGAGCGATCTCAACCTGGCGATCAGCGAAATATTGAATTATAGCCCCTTTATTTACCCGCCAATCGCAAAGAGCACACGGCGTAAAGCTTCTCCAATCGTCGTGACATAATCGACTCTACTCCGTAGGTTACATTCTGAAATTACTCTATCTCCTTTTCCTGATGAGATCGTCCGATCTACTGTATAGGTCGTTGGTCGGGGCGGTCCGATCGGCAGAGGTATGGAATTTTTTCGAGTATGGGAGTCGCATGTAAAAGACCGAAGGAGCCTTCGGACCCTTAGCAGTCCTCCTGTTCACCCATCCATCGCGTGGTATCGGGTTTGAAGTCCTTGCTGTCCTTACATTCTTTGCGCTGGTCATTTGTAACTCGAGAATGGAATAGCCGTCTAGCAGAGGCGATTCTCATGGTAGAATTAGCAAAACAGTGGCTGGCTGAAGACGTGCAAGATCGACGAGACTAGCAGCGGGATCCACAGATAGGGTCTAAACCCCGCTCAATCGTCATTCCGAAATGACCCTCCCTTCTTCTATCGAGGCTTTGTGACGCGGAAATAAGGGCCTGGCCACGGGATTGTCTGATGTATAAATACCATATTTCGTCCTTCTCTAGTCAATATCTACCTACTAAATTCTTTCATCCTTTTGGCATATATTGACAACTTATCTTATTTCATTATAAGGATACGATGCGTTATACAATCTTTTCCACGGTCATTTCAGTGCTCTATTTGATAGGGTCTGTTATTGCGAATGAGGCTCAGTGGTGGCAGCCCACAATCGAGAATCGCCTAGAGGTTCCAATTTATATTGACAACTTCGATTTGTTTTGGTATTACTATTCCAGCTCCTTATAGATGACAGAATTTCCTAACGTGACTGTTTAGGGGTAAATGTTACGACATTCAAGACAGTTCCTCGGAGGTTCAGTGTCCTAGTATGGTTAAAATAGGAGCTGGAGAGGGCTACACATTCGGCACTTCCGGACGTGCGGGTACTGCTACTGGAACTGAGGGTGCTTTTGACTTGGTACTTGAAGGCGGCGAAAAGATCGCCACAATCAACTTCGACTGTCCGGGGGGAGGAGGTTCAAATCAGGTTAATACGAACGGTCCCGTGAATCCGGGTTATACTGTTGCGATTGTCGGATTCAACGAGGGTCAAGGATCCTTTGGGGCTCTCGGGAGCGGCTTTATTGAGGTTAGTGGAGAGTAAAAGTCCCTAGATCCGTTTTACGGACGGGAGCAGCGGTCAGCTAGCAGGGTTACGAGGAGGCGCCGGTACAGTAGCCAATCAATTTGGAACCAGTCATGGACACGAGTGAGGAGTGAGGACATAGATGGGTCACGTGACTAGGAATAGTTTGTTATGGAAGCAATTATCATGTCCAGGATACGATCGGAACAGATGTTGGACAGGATCACGTAGGACCATATTTGAACTAGCGGCAAAGCATGAGATAGTTTCTCTGTGTGTAATGGAGAATCGTCCTCAATCGTCCTTAGTCGTCCTTGAATGTCGTGCTGGTACAGGCCTTTGTAATCTGGGGAAGGGGAGCCAGAGCTTGCCTACTGGGCCATAATATTTATGAGTTGCTTGCACCCCAGCTGTTGGCAAAAAGATCTTCTGCGACGGTCAATGTTCAATTAGTTGACCACAGTCTTTTTCCTGCCCTCGGTTGCATTGTACGTCTTGACCCAAGAGACGCAATGGACCGTTTTAACTGCGGCTTCAACGAGACGGTCAACGGAAGAGAACAGTGGGCGGTGAACAAAAAGAATGGTACAGCGAAAATCAATCAATATGCCAGCAATTCAGGAGGAAAATAAGGGCGGTGAATAGCAAATTAAACTATGTCATGCACAGTCCATTTATGGGCTGAACAAAACCGGTCGATCTATTATTTATTCAGGAGGGTCAAGGAGTCTCCTCTCTGGCTGGAGTCGTCAGTCCCGCTGGAGTAGGGGTCTTGATATTCTTCTGGAGGGGCCGCCGGAGGTGCGAGAGACCGTGTCTATTCAACCATCATATTGGTGAGTTGTACTCTAATTGGAGACCCAGCACGTAGCTGTTGAAAACCAATAGCTTCTGCATCGGTTAAGGCTCAATAGTTGACCACAGCCTTTTTTTCTGCCCTCGGTCGCGCTCTTTTTGAGCCAAGTGACATAAACGACCGTTTTAACTGTGGCTTCAATGCAAAAGGTCAACAGAAGGAAACAGTCGGCCGTGAAACCGCAGTTTAATTCAATAATCCAGGAGTTGTAGAACAGAGCTTGCAAAATCTGGGGAAAGCTGCTGGTTAAACATAGTCTTCACAGAATTATTTGCATTCAGTTTTTATTCCTCAAGGATGGGGTTTTCCATATTTTCTACCGAAGTGGTTTTTACCCTCACCTTTGAGCATGGTTAGCGAAACCGTGACTTAGTGCAAGTATAAAAAACTGCCGATGTGCAGCAAAATTGACACTACTTAGCTAGTTAGCACCCTTCTTTTATTTCCTCCCTCCTTCACTTGTCTAAAAGTGACGCTTGAGCCATCTTTGTATTCGTGGAAGTGGCTACTTCGAAATGGCTGTTGCACCACACACCCGACCGAGTCGACTTGTTCCGAGCAAGACAGCAAATCGCCAGAAACAGTGTCGTCGTAAATCAACTCTGATGACAAAGGCATGCGAATACAGCAAGATGTGTGATGCAGATGTCTGTCTGGGCATCCGTCTCCGTGAGACGGGCCAAATATACATTTTTTCGGCGGATGCTTCGGGATTTTGGGCCTTTCTTAGCTCTCAGCTAGTACGTCGCCAGTGCTACCTGGTGGGAAGTCCACTAACGCCTCCAGAATTGGCTGTGAGGGAGCACATATTTACATACACAGGGCTCATTGGCTGTGAGGGAGCGCAAATCTTACATCGCTGGGCTCGTGGCAGCGACAGCCGTGGTCACGGAAGCTCTCAAGCCCGCGGGCAAGAGAGGGACACTATGATGCATCAAAGTGTGAGGACCAAAGTGTGAGGATGGAAGTCCTGCGAATTTTGCGCTGGGAATCCGGCCCCTTTTATAATTTTTCGGTCAAGTCTCTACCAAGGAACCATTGCACCGAAGGTAGTGAGAATCACTGTCCTTTGGTTGGCATTGAAGCAAGTTGAACGACGTTGAAACGGTGTTTGGAGACTTTGTGGCCTACAGACTCAAGTTTCGACCTGGGATCATTTCTCTCAAATCTTGCGTTGAGTATGGTGAACCGCTTTCATCAACTGTGGAAGAAAGCAACGCCGCAAAAATGTGATTCGTACATAATGTTGAGTTTGCAATTAAATCGCTCAAGCGGTGGCACCCTACATCTGCCCGTTTAGCCACGGTAACCGTCTCTTTCATGAGGGTTGATGTGCTTCAACAGATGCCAAAATAATTGGTTGGAAAATTTCTGGCTGACAGAAACGCTGGACTGTACCTGCGGTTGGCTGGAGGATCCTTTGGCCTCGCTCGAATCAATCCTGTTCATCCTTGGCCCCGCGCCGCTGAATGTTGTTTCTTCCCTGTCTACTCGCAGCCAGCTAATGTTGCTTTTATTAGAATCTCTACTCCCTGGCCGCACAGATATTGACATACTCTCAAGCTCAGGATCAGGATTGTCCTTCTTCGGGAGGGCATAACCAAAAGTCCAGAGCTTATTGGAAAGCCTCCATAGGAAACCGAGCCTAGGACAACCATGTAAAATGTGCAACCAGGCCCACGAGCTAGGTTCGCGTGATCGCCACCCCCTCGCAAGATTGCAACGCTACTATCACATTGATGAGACTCTGGATACAAATAGCGCCCGACAGACCAATCAAACACAATGCGCGAATTTAGACAGACGCAGGTACGGTTCTGCGATGCAGATCCTAGCGACGACCCACCGGACACTAGATCAAGGAGGTTCTATTTATGGCCCGGAGAAGAAGTGAAGGATTTGCAAAGGTCCCAGGCCGATCCACAAGCCCAAACTTGACGGCCGTCAGTGTCTGATGGAAAAGGACTTTGTTGCGTAGAGGGTACGGCCGAGGTACGGTCCAGGCAGGTGAGGTATTTGGAATATCGGCGGAATTTTGGCAACAGAGTGGTAGCCTAAATCCCGATCCGTGGTTATGCTTTCCTGGTTCCTGTCACAGGAGAATAATTCTCCTGTCAAGTGGCAAGTTGCTCCTTGTCTATCTGGACTGCAGAATGTTCTAGAAGTTTTGACTTCTGTCCTGCATAAAGCTTTCCTAGATATTGTACTCTCTTGGAATCCGACACAACCCCATCATCAGCCCAACTCAATTACCAGTCCGGTATGTCTAGCAGACAGCTTGTAGACTATGCCAATCATGGACACACCACATGAGCTTATGTAAAAATATCTCCGGTTTTTGCACCAAAACCAGGAACCGATTGGCTCCCGGATATGGATTGACGCTGTGGGTCGGCCCTCCTGCGGCCCCGAACTTTATTTAATCGCCCTCCGCATCTTCAAGACTCCAGCAATAGAGAATCTTTTTAGTACCGCGCTGGTCCAATGTCCTGTACATGAGCAGGTTGAGACTCTGGTAATTCTATGCCAATTCTCTGGACTTCTCTTTTACGCCGTAGGACTTAATCACGAGCAACATATACCGCAAGTGTGGCAGAAATTTGCAGATAAGCTTATCTCGTCGATCATTCATGACAGCCGCATTCTCTCACCGTGTGACCGTTTTCATGGTTCATCGAAATTCTATTTCAGGGTTCAGCGATTGATCGACGATGCCGGTCATGTTCCACGGTCTTTGGGATAACATTTCTCAAACCATGGCCTTGTAAATTTCTCGGTATTGTTGTAATTCCAGAGAATGATGCTTGTTTATATTTTGAAAGTCGCTGAATTCATACATACAATCACTGAGATATTCATCATGCTGCGTCTTGATTGTTCAGCTGCCACATCCTCCGTTTGTAGCATCATCCAACAACACTAATTCATCGAGATAGTTACTATGGTTGCTTGGCGATCACAATGTAGCGCGCATGCCAGCGAACTGCTGATGGCATGGACGTTCCGCGCATCGGTATCTCATGTTCCTGGCTGCAGAGACACGATGTACGTAGTCCCAAGTCTGCGATGACGATCGCGTTTCTTTACGCCGTGACGGACGGAGTAATGACATCGCGCGGCCTGTGATTGATGATCAGCTTGTAACAATCGGTGGAAGAAGGTCAGCTCATACCTCGTCTCCAACGTTTCGTCTTGGTTGATTCAATGTTGTCGATATGGCTAGGCTCGGCCGTTAAGATTGTTTGAAACGACTTATCAATGTTGCTTTGCGCAGGCCTTTTATTTGGGAGAGTTGCCAATGAAGCCCTACGGCCGACCGATCGACGAACTGTTCCTGCTCGGTTTCGATTGCCTGAATGCTTAGGCGATCTGGCACCAGTGCGACGTTGCTTGCGCAAGATATGGTACATTTTCCCTCGTAGAGACTCAACGCTTCGGTCCACCTGATATTGTTCATAATATGCGTCGGAGCGGGCTTTCCACGACAGCGCCCGATGGGCGACCAGCCAGGAGAGAAGGTTCTTCTCCTCCCATTCCGACCAGCCTACCTCGCTTCGAGGAGGCATAGCGCTCGCATGAACTAACAGGAACCAGAGAGACCTTTTCAGGCAATGGCACGACTTGAACTCCGCATGGATAGGAAAGGTGAGCCTCAGTCCCCTCCAGGTCCCAGCAAAAGCTGAGATAGTACCCTTGGTTCATCTGAAAGTTTCTGAAGGCTTGTGACATGACCCATGGACCACTCTGGACAGTCGATTTGGTCAGTCTATGAGTTGTGAACTATCGTCTCCGTATTTCAGAATCCCCCGAATTCCCAGCGTCCGAAGATATTCATAGCTACAGGAACGACAACCTTCAGTTTCGTACTTCTAAAAATCTTGAATATAATGACTTTATGTGGAAAAGAACATAGTAATGAGTTCGCAAACCGTGCCCCACTGGGTACTGAGTGAGGTAACATGAAACAGACTTTAAAAGCAAAAGATTTGCCTGGTACGAATTTTTTCACAAAAGTCGAATGACTTTCGTGCCTGATTGGCTAAAATGAATTCCAAATCAAGCGACAATTGTGCTAAGTGCGGAAGATAGTGGGCCTTGCAAACATATATCACAAGCTCCGGTTTGGAGAACAAACTCTTCATAAAAGCCTGAGCGACTTCTTCTCTACCGTCTGACTACAAAACTCATTATCTCAGCGTGACTCATATTCAACAATGGGTGGAATTCGAAAACTTCCGCTTACTGATCAACGACAAAGCTTTCGGAGCCGTTTACAACGTGCACTGTCCCTGTCATCCTCCGGGTCTGAGGATATCTGGAGTCCGCCAAGATCCGCGGCAGGTGATACCACGGAGGATGAGTGTTCTCAGGAGGACGACTCTTTTGGCAACCACCGCCACGAAATCACAACGGATGATGGCCAGGAAAGTCCTCCACGCACCAGGAGTATGGGCCCGAGACCAGAAGAAGAACTGGAAGAACCCGGACAGGATCTCTCCGAAAACTGCAAAATGATCATTTTCCAATGTCTCGCAGAGTGAGTCAATCCGCTCCCCAGGAATGATGTTTGTGGTACGTCTGCTTACAGCATTTAGACTAGATGTCCGAACGAAGTCAGTCGTGCGACCCACCAGGGAAAGAGCAAACACTGATTATTTTCCAGGTCCATGCAGACTTCATTGAATAACCAGAACAGCTGGATTGGAAATATTCGCAGTGATCTGGAGGACATCCGCAGTCGGTTGGCGGTTGTGGAGACGGCTATGGAAATGAGGGCTAAAGAGGGGGAGAACAATGCTATTGAGGGTGATACATCTAGACGATCGCTTCGGTCGCGGAAGTGAGTCATATCGAAATGGATATAATGAAATTATATCTTTAGCCTAGACCCAGATGCCAGCCCTTGTTAGCTAAGTTATCATTATGCCGTTGTGCTTTGCTAACAATTATATTTCACCTTGGCAGACTCTCGCTTAAGTTGTATATAACTGCAGCGCTGCGGGGCAGGGGAGAAAGCGTCGATGGAAATCCGGTGAGATGAACTTCCTGTCCTGACCGGCTCGAAGTCGCAACCTGATACGATAAACATCCGATTAAAATTTTTGGAAGTTCAATGGCCTGGCAATCATTTCAAGTCACACTGCATCGCCCACCCGGGCTGTGGGCCCCTATTTCTAACCACATTTAGCGGCCCTGGAGCAATCTCTCTTCCGTCCAACTGGCAGAGCGATAGTCTGATAATCTAACTACGATCTTACGTGAAAATTCGTTCTACTATAGCGGATGATAATCCAATAGATACATTTGTTTTCTATTCTGCTGTTATCCTGGGATGGCGATGGTGTTGCTAAAGATTAATCCTTGAGCTATATACCTGCGAGGTGGTTATATGAAATTGACTATGAAGTTCCGCCACTGCCAAAGCCGTACTGTACCAAACTCTTAGGTCTGTCGTGGTTCACACCAGTGATTCATAGTGGTTGGTTGGAGCTGGCACCTGCTGAGTAACAAGTGGGTAATTACTCGATGAGGAGAATCCGGGTAGGGCATTGTGACCCAAATTCCCCAGCGGGCCGTCCTGGTCGGGCCAAGTTCCGTGAATTACTTCAGATCCAGGCAGGCACGACGCTGGTCTACGATTCTGAAGGGCATCGATCGTGTTCCAGAGCCGAGTGGTCGCAGATACCAGCTCACAGTGCGTCTGACGCAAGACCGGCTGAATATCGTTCCATGAGACCTGATTCTGCATGGTGGCGTCAAATGAGTCCTGCTGCTGCTTGATTTGGCAGAGTTCTCTTTCAAGCCTCCGGTTCTCCTCCAAGGCTTTGTCTTTTGCTTCGATAGCCTGCTGTAGGTTCGAAGTTTCCTGGGCCTTTTCAACGTGCAGACGCTGCACCAACTGGGAACCATGGGCTCGCTCGTCGTCCATTTTCCCAAGAGCTAGTTCAAACTCTTCTTGAATCTGGTCCATCACATCCAAACATTGTCGATGTGTCGCCTCATAATCTTTCTTCCGGGCGGTTTTCGTTATAGAATGTCCCTGGAAACGCTCGTCAGCCAAGAGTACATTATCGAAGGAAGATCGCATCATGTCTTTCGGTGCAGAAAGGTACGAATAACTGTAGACAAGATAGGGAATGACATACCAGGTCTTTGCGTAGCTTCGCCACTGGATTCAGAGTATTACGGTCCGCCTTGGACGTAGAGACTGTCGACCGAACAGAACAAGGCGAACCAGCACGCGATCTGCTAGTATGAGACTTTGCTTTGGTAGCACCGCGTCCTGCACTCCGAGAGGGCTTGGAGTCATTTGCCATACTGAATCCTTCCGTTCGAGGGATTATTGTTGGTTGTTGGTTCAAGCAAATTGCGGTCAAACTGTAGAACACGAATGATCGCAGTACATGTAGCCTCCTGGGGAACAACGATTTTAAAGGTTTAGGTGGAGACCAAAGCAAGAGATCTGAAACGAAATGAAAACGCTGTGCCCTTGCCAAGACTTTGTTTGCTGGCATCTGGACCTTGATCAGAGAAGATTGAGTAACCATCTGCACACCGGACTGGACCCTATGGGGTGCTAGCGCGAAGTGTAAACAAGAAAAGGATAAAAAAAAGGTAAAAAGGAGAAAAAGAAATCCTGCCGGTCCATTGTGGAGGAAGTGATCGGCCGGCCCGCACAGAGAACTACATCCATGCAACCAGTTGTGTCTCAATACAGGCTACATTTGAAGAATGCGTGTCGCTCTTACACCCGAGAAAGACTCTTTGCCCTTAGGTATAATCCAATTGATGTCTCTTGCACAATTCTGCATAAATGGCGCCATCCTGTTAATAGCAGCGACCTTCCCCCGTCACGGCCCTCATTGATGAACGCTGTTATAGCAGAGGCAAGATCTAAATTCTACAGTTCCACTGTCGACAGAACCAAAGCCTGGTTTCCAGAACAACCATATGAGCCATTTCAGCTACCAAGGCTCACGATTTGGTCCCTTGTCAATCGCCACCTCGTTTGCGAGATTGTAACGCTATTATCACAATCCTGATGAGACGTTGGAAACAAGGGACTCCCGTCGGACCAATCGAGTAATGCGCATGAATATGGACGGACGCTGGTACAGTTCTACAATGAAACACCAGCGATGACCCATGGGACAGTAGATCAAGGAGGTTCTATTTGTGGCACTCAGAAAAAATTTGAAGGACTTGCAAAGGTCCGGACACGATCCACAAGCCCAGACTGGCTGTTGTCGTGCGGGTAGGATGGCTTTGTTGCTGAGGAGTTACGTTTTGGGCAGGTGAGGTATTTGGAATATCACGCAGTCTTTCCAGAATAGAATGATACACAAACAAGATGTGTGGTCATGGTTTCCTAGAGCCCTTCGGTCATCCGTCCCTTCTGTTTCTTCGTCTATCTAATTTACAGAACGTTCTAGAAGCTATGTATTTCATTCTGCATCAGCCATCCCCAAATAAGCGTATTCCCTACCTTTCCGATATTTACTTCCCTACCCTTGCTTCAATTTCCGCGCTACTCCGGTATCACTGACAGAGCTTATACGTGTTTATGCCAATATTGGATGGAACAGAAAAACCCTTGTAAACATATTGTCCGGTGTTTGTACTAAAAGCCGAGAAACCGACTGGCTTTTGGAAATGAAAGGAGTCGGCGTTGTGGGACCGAACTTCTATGGGCCCGGAATCTTACATTCTTAGCACTCTTCCAACGTTGCTAATACTCAGGATCGCGCGACCAATAATGTTCATAAACACCATCGTAGCCATTTAATCACATACTCTATGTCAAAGGCCGAAATCGTGATGAGTGCGGTCCATTTGCTCCAGTAAATCAGTTACACTGTAGCAGCAGCCGTAAGCATGATAGATCTGAAAAGTAAGTGGAGAAGCAGACGGGAGATCTAGATCGGAGCTTAAACCTAATTGCCATGAATCATCGCAGTATTCCGAACACGCGGTTCCGTGACATAAAAAAATAATTTGTCACGATAGTTTGACACTTGGTCACCGACCGTGGATCCTGCTCTGCGTTCCACGGTTGTTATGATAGAAACTTTTAATATGATTTGGATGGAAAGGAACCTTTGTTCCAGTTGAGTGATAGCATGCCGTTATTAGACTGGCTGGGAAAAACCCCTCCCACCAACATGACTGGGCTGGGATTGAGGTTCAATCATATGCTTCGTAGCTCTACGGTATAGATAACTCTGTTGTCGACCCACCCAACCCATTCAAGGCTAGAATCCTAGTTGATAAGTGTTCTAAGAACTTTGGAGCTTAGGAGATCACTAGCTATTGTGTCATGATTTCATTGTGAGGACGCTCACATCCTGGTTCAATGAAACAACCCTTAAAAACCGCTACTGATCCCATCCATCAACTCAAATAAAAGAGACATCTTTGTGCTCGTGCCAACTCCTATCAGACCATGGATACAGTCATCACCAGCCTGCCCCCCAAAGTGGGCGCCATTCTTATGGATAATATATCCATCATTCAAATTGTATCCATGTTCTCGATCGGCGCGTACAATGCCGTTGAAACAGGGATCGTCACATTTGACAAGTTCAAACACTACCGCAGCCTATATTTCTGGAGCATGCAATTCGCATCCTGGGGCATTCTTGTGCACGCCATTCCTGCCATGGCACGATTCTTGTCTCAGTCATCCAATCTCGCGACGTCCATCCCCTTCATAGTCGGATGGCACGCTATGGTTACTGGCCAAGCCCTCGTCCTCTACTCGCGCCTGCATCTCGTTTTCGCCGATGCGAGAAAGGTGCGTTGGGTCTTGTGGATGATACTCACGAACTTTTGCATCCTACATATTCCAATGACCGTCTTATTCTTTGGCCTCAACAACGGCAACGCACGCTTTGCTCAACCTGCCGCGATATTCGACCGAATCCAATTGACGGGCTTCTGCATCCAAGATTTCGTTATCTGCGGCATTTACATATACGAAGCAGTTCATGCTTTCAGACTTATCAGTGCGTTCCGAGGTCGCGAGAGCCGCAATGCCATCATCCATCTAATTTGCATCAATATCATCGTGGTATTCGTGAATATTCTCCTCCTGGTGGCGGAATACAAACTGCACTACATTCAAGTGAGCTTCAAGACTGTGGTGTACAGCGTCAAGCTGAAGTTGGAGTTTTCTGTGCTCAACCGTCTCTGCTCGGTGGCCGTCCCCTGCACCTGCCAGAGTGGATCCGGGGAGCAGCGCCGATCATGTGATCTGAATCACTTTGATCGAAACCTTCCACGGTCATCTGCGGAACCAGAGAGGACAATGCAATCTGCGTCGACTTATGAAAAGATACAGCGCCGTTTCAAATTGCCAAACTTGGTCCATAGGTACCACGGGGCGAAGAGCTATTTGTCCGGGAAGAAGATCATTCCCTCCAAAGACAGTTCGTACTCAGAAACATTCCCCGAGAGCCATTCAAGCACCGGTCCGACTGGATCATCGGAATCTCTGCCGTCACTGGAACTGAGTCTATCTGAATTCTCGCCCAAATTCGATGTCTAAGCATCCTGCCAAGAATGCAGGCTGGGTCTCGTTGAACTTGCTAAGGACTGAGCAGCTTGCTGCGGGCTGGTGGTGGACATGGATGATCAGACATAACCGTGCTAGCTAGCTAGCGACAGCTCGGCCGTGACGCTTGATTTGAAGTCTTTCCAGACGATGTAACTGGTGAATATTTTGGAGGCAATGCGACTCTGCGCTTGATAGGTGAAATGTGGTCGATATCCATACGTCGGAGCGATAGGTCAGTGAGAGACATGGAGAACGGGGTGAAATAAAAAAGTAATATACAAGACTGTGAAAAAGTGGAGACAGGAAATTTGAAACAATAATTGTTCTCTTCACACCCAGTTTTGGCGTCAAACGATATTTGGCATTATCCTTCCGGTTCATCCGACCGGATGTAGTCTGGCCTAGCTGCCCGGCTATGGCCCTGTAATGCTATTCTGTCTACTAGTGCATGGGCACTAGATCCAATGAACAGCATTCTTATATGGTAGGAGAGAGCAAATGCGAAATACTAAAGAGTACTGATTGTCACAGCTTTTATTATGTGAGACGGGGAACTTATTGCACGTCCTTTCGTCAACCTGTACTTTCATATCACGCAATCCATGGACCAACTCTATCGTACATTGCTATACCACATCTACATGGAACTTCAAAATCTGGCCAAAGCAGCAATAACGCGGTTGCTTGGAGAAACCTGTGCTTATTTGGGATGTACCCCAGACAGTCCCTTTTTCGAAGTGAAGCCATAGTGCAAGAGAAATCCGTGGGAGATCAACCGTTTCTCATAGCAAATAGAAAGAATCAAACAAAAGAAACATTTCGGGAATAATCATAGTTGCAAGATGGTCGACTGATAATTCGCGAGGTATCCTGACGAAGAACATTCAAATTGAAGGTGAAATTTATTGATAACATGACAAAGTCTCACGATTTGGACTTTGGGCCATCTAGAACCTTCAGGATTGGTGTAGGGTGATACGATATCTTGAGATCGAGTTAATATCTTCATAGCGACAACATCGATGATAAAGAGGAACTTACTAACTGGTTGTCAGAGAGAGGCCAATTTGTTGAGTTTGACGTCAGAACATACATCTTCCCAGATTTCTTCATGCGAAGAATGAGATGAATGTCGGCATCGCATTCCGTGGTGTACTCAGAGACTTTTTTGAAAAGCGTGTTTCTTCGCCTGCGCGCTTTTTGATTAACCGCGTCTGTTGGGTTTGATTTCGGTTTTGGTTGAGTGGCCATAATTGGGGTTATCTTTTTTACCGAGAGCAGTGTTGAGTCGAGGAAAAATCAGACCGACATCCGATTTTCGAGTTTTGTAGTAGTGACTTGAAAGATCAATGGGGTCGCATAGCAGCTCTGCATTCTTAAGGGAACGTAGGGCAAGAACAGCAGATTAGTAGCTTTGTTCTTGTCGCAGAAAGCCATTTCTATCCGCTTCGTCGTTGATCTCATGCCACACCATGCAAGGAACGGTGAATCATCGCAACCATGTTGATCGAGGTCTTCCACTTCGTTTCCGTCAACTTCAAGGTTTTTATCGCTCATTTAAACAATGCAATCAAACAGGCCCGTGGCAAATAACGCATCGTGAACTTCCGCAACACTATTTTGAGCAGGAGGAACAACGGAATTAAGCTGGCCGGTACTTTTGTGATGACAAAAATCCTAAGCGGTCTCAACAGTTCAAGTAACCTCGATTTCAAATGCACATTGGCGACAAGAAAAGAAGTTCCACTCCATTGGCCGTTAGCTGTCCGAACCTCAGCCCGGAATTGCGCCTTGGTCTGGGCTTGATTTAACCGTGTCGGCAATTGTGAGATGCACGTAAAATGCGCGCTCTTCACAAGTGAATGAGTCACCATCAAAGTCGTCCGAGAACACGCCCATAGAGTTGCTTGCATTTTCTGCCGTGTTACTCGCCAGAGTAGATGGTAGCGCTGCCAGACAATATGTAGACATTCGCCTTCTTGTCCCGGAAGTATCGATAAGTTACCGGCGACAGCAGAAATTGACCGTAAAACGACAAACCGGTATGAACTGGGAATTGTACAAATGGCCACTATCGAGTCAATGACCAGGACGCCATATGTAGATACGATACCACTGTATCGGTACAGGGCCACATCC